TGATGCCAGGGGCTTAAGTGGAGAGGAAATGTTTTGAGAATGATGAGGGCAATGAATGTACAAATGTGCTTTACACAACTGATGTATGGATTGTGATAAGAGTTGTATGAGCCCCTAATAAAAACTATTTTAAAAAAAAGATGTCCAGAAAAAGCTAATCTACAGAGAGAAAGAACAGATTAATGGTTGTCTGAGGCTGGGGGCTGGGACTGCCTATAAAATTGCATGTGTAAGCTTGTTAAGGTGAGGTGAATTAGCTGCAACGCTGAATTGAGCTAATCACTATAAAAATTACTCTTAAAAGCAGAATATATCATCTCAATGTGTTTTCCATATGAACTCTGCATTCTTAGAACTAGAGAAAAGTATTAAAGATTCTTCTATACTAGAAATCTTAACAGGGATCTGATTTCTACATGTCCAGCAGAATGTCTGCTTCCAGCCATTAGGCCTTCAGTAGCCGACAATGCTTATAAGCTATGCATAAGGTTTTTGGCGGCTACTTCTTCCCCAGTGGGCAGCAGATTTCTTCTTTGTAGTCTGGTCTTCATCAGGAAGCTCCACTGAAACCTGTTCACCCTGGGTGACCCCGCTGACATTTGAAAACACCAGTGACAAAGCTTCTAGCATCCCAGCAACACACAAGCCACCAGAGCAGAGGTAAGAACGAATAGACTTCACATTACATATACTGGACATGTTGCCAGGAGAGACCCGTCCCTGGAGAAGGCCATTGTGTCAGTTTGAGTAAACTAGGGAAACAAATCCACAGAAACTCCTATATGTAAGAGAGAGTTTTATATAACGGGGACATATACATTAAGAAAGCATCCCAACCCAGTGCTGCCCAAGCCCACAAGTCCAACATTAGCCCATATGTCCGACACCAATCTACAAAGTCCTCCTCCATCTCACAAAACACACACAATGACGCCGAATGCAGGAGGAAAGTGGAATCAGTGAGCATGAAGCATCTCAGTGCTGGCAGGGGTCTCCACACGGCTGCTCCAGCACCCAGGGCTGCACCAGGCTAGGTCCATGCGGTTTCTCCTCAGGGATGTCTTGCAAGAAGTAAACCTTGCCAGCTGACTCAGGGAACTGGCTAAGGCAACTGCAACCTGGTCTGACCATCAAAAGCAAGAGATCCAAGAACTAGAAAGGCAAGGCTCAATGAGCCATTTATCCCTCCACCCTTCAATTAACCCGTGTTTATCTGCCAGGTTCGCACAATACACCTTAACTATCTCAGCTATCATGCTTGGTAAAGTAGAGGGGCAGCGAAAAACAGGAAGGTCCCCCAAAGAGTTGGAATGATATGGTGGCTGCAACAATGGGCGCAAGCCTAGGAAGAATTGTGAAGATGGCGAAGGAGTGGGCAGTATTTAGTCCTGTTGTGCATTGGGTTGCTATGGTTGGAACTGACTGGATAACATCTAACAATATCAGCAAAATTTAAGGAGATATAAGAGAATGGTCCAGATAACCATTTGTAAGATCCTTTTCTAACCCAGTTTTTAAAATATTTAATAAAAAATAAAAGTTAATTGATGTCAGCGAAAGCCCAAAATCCATTTGTAGAGTTCCCCCACAGATTAAACCTCCACTGATTTCCCTCAATCACTGGCCTGGGACGCTTTGCCCTCAGACAGAGTGCATTGGAAAGTAGATGAGTGCAGGTAAAATGAGGTTAAAATTTAACATTATTAGTTTGTTTCCTCTTTTGACTCATTTATACTTTGTTCTAGTCTCTACTGTCTTCTGCTTTCAGGCGGATTGAGTTTTTTTCCCCTATGAATGTCTTTATATGAAATCCAGAATAAGTAAATCCACAGAAGCCATAACTAAATTTAATAACTCCTTTGGGTTATGGGAGAGGAGACTGGGGAGTAATAGAGCTGTGGTGGATGTTCTAAAATTGATATGAAAATGATTGTACAGTTCTCCTTGATATGATTTAACTATTGATGTGCATGCTATGCCAATAAATATGCCAATAAAATTGTTTTAAAATATTCTAAAATAGTGATGAAGACTGCACTAATTGTAAAAACTTAAATCACTGAATTGTAAGATTCATGAAATGTCAATAGAACTGTTAAATATATGTATATATATAAGTGCCAAGATATGCATTGTTAATTCTCTGATGAATTTATAAGCTATCCCTTCTCCGTTTATAGTGGGTGTTGATTAAAACACTGGAAATTCATTATTCTTAACCCAGTGGGTTTTGTGGGTCTTTTTGTTTTGCCTATTAACAAATCAGTCATTTGGGACAAGAACAGAGAACACACTGAAAATCCATTTGATGCTGATTTCTAGCATGGTTTGAGGCATGACCACTACCAACTAGGAACTAACATATGTGAGTATCTTTGGCTCACTCTGTAGCCTAAAAAACAAAAAATCAATCCAACTGGCCATGGTGGCCGCCCTGTAGCTGGTTTTCATAAATACAAATTTACTTGTTATTGGAACAACTTGCTGAAATATGGAATTCGTTAAAAAATACCATTTATTTTAAAATGTGCATGCAGTTTCACATATAAGCGGCAACACATCTTTCACATTTAGTCAATCACGTCAATGCTTTTTATTAGAGAACTGAACAAAAAATATCAATACAGTTTAGCTTTCTTTTCTCGAAGTTTAGTAATGTTTTTCAGGAAACTAAGAAAATGGTTAAGTAAAGTCGGAAAGAATTAAAAGATATAATCAAAATACAAGTAATCTAATTCTAATGAAGCATATCTAACCTTTACTTTGATATTAACTAGGAAACGGTTTTTTGGTGCTTTTTATATTAGACTTCTTGTATCTAACATTTATTAGTACTTTACTTCCGTGTACATTACATTGAAATGTCAATTTAAATTTTGCATAGTCACAATGAATATGTTTTAAAGAATAAATGATCCCAACACATGGTGTGAATTCTATCATTAGTAACTTTTCCAACTCCTTGAGGAATTAACGAGGAATGAGAAAATGCTAAGCCGCCTATCAGTAAAGGTGAATGACATCCATAAGCCTGGTGCTGGGTGGCCCCAAAGTGCTCTGCTCATCTGTCGCATCACGGCTAGGACGCATGAAATGGGGCGTGGGTTGAGATTAAAACCAAGGCCCAGCAGCTTTCCTACAATTTCACTCGGACAAAAGCCCAGTAACAAGCACGTCACTGCTGGGAAATTCTTCAGCCTCTTAAAAGGCTAGTCCCAAACTTCATCAACTGTAAAAATCTCTTAAATCTTTTCCGCCTCCCAACTCAAGGCCTTCCAATACGACCACAGAGGGCTCATAGTTGTAAACGCACCCAACAACAACAAAATACAAAACCGGCCAACAAACCCCAAGAATTGGGTATCGTCGCTGAGGCCTGCGTTCAAAAACAACTGTGGGAGGACCAAAAACGTGAGATTCAGTCTTCCTTTAAAGACGAAAGGCTGGGAGGGAGGAGGAAGGGCAGCCGCCGGGCCCCTCCCACCGGCCGAACTGCGCAGGGCCGAGAGGAGCGCGGCCCGTGACGGACGAGGAAGGGTTCAAAGAAAGGAGCCTTTCACCGCTCGCCAGGACCCGAGGCAAAGAAATTCACCTTTGCTCTCTTCCTTTCGTGAACACCTAGCAGTCAGCGATCAAAGAACAAAAAGGACCCGAACGCCAATTCCCAGCTCCCACCGCACAGGGACGCTCACTTCCGCGTGACTCTTTGGCCGGCCCCACCCAGCCCCTCAACAACGGTCGCCTCGTGGAGCCCCGCCCCTCTGTGGGCGGCGCCCTCCCACACCACTCCCTCCACACGGCGGGAATTCCGCCCGACCACCTCGAGGCCCAGAGTCTAGACGTTCTCGCGAGCTTTCCTTTCTCGTGCTTCCACCCGCTCCTCCATGCTGACGTGTCGCCCAGGAACACCCCTCCCCCCCTCCCCTCCTCCCCCCCCCCGGCCCGCCGCCAGGAAGTAGTACCCTACCCTTTGGTTCCGAGGCTCCTCTTACCGGGTGGTCCTTGCCAGAGCTGCTTCAGCAGTTTGGTCATTGGCGGAAAGGAAGCCACCGCCCGAATTTTGTGGCTGGAAAGCTTAGCTTTGCCTCGTATTGGGGGTTTGTTTTGTTTTGTTTTTTTGGAATTTTCCCGCGGTGGCTCTGAGAGCAGCGCGCGCTCACGTCCCCGCAGTGCACTCTGGGGCCAGGAGAGCCGCCACACGCGCTCTCGCCGCTTGGCGGGAAATTCTGTCGGCGTTTGTGGGACGGGGGCGGGGCAGGGCGGGGGCGGGGGCCCTTCGCAGGCTCAGACCGGAAGCCGCTCCCTGCCAGGAATGGACTCCAGGGGGAGCGGGCCTGCAGCTGTTCGCTCCGTTTTTCCCGGGACCAAATCCGTTGGAGAGGCCATGGGAGAAGGCCAGGGTTTGTGTTTAATTTCACGATTCTGTTCAAAATGCAGAGGAAATAAAATGGAATTATTGGGGGGTTTTGTTTTTTTCTTTAAAAAAATTGAAACTTTGTCAAGGTAATTTTCTGTGATCTATAAGGGGAAAAAAAGGCATATTTTTTCAGTTAATGATCCACACTTAACCCACCCTACCACTGCCCCCAAATCAGTTCCATACTGTGCTTGATTCGGGTTCAAATCAGTTCAACGCTGTGCTTAAACCACTTAAATAAATGGAAAGCAGCATTTCTATAAACTTCCATTCATGTCCGTGGTTTTAGCTTGTCTTAGTGGATTTTTTTTTAATTCTTGAATTTAGTAATGGCATAAAGATTTTTCTTAAATTTTTAAGCTTTTTTTTAAAGATAGGAGTAACCTAATTTTTCGTTTTTAAAATTTTTAAATGAAAGCCTCATTTATGAAACTTCACATGTGATTTTTAAAAGTTTACTATGAAACAGTGTATGCATGTAATAAAAATAACTTTCCATTAGTTAATCACTTCCAATTATTCCATGATGAAAGAATACTAAAAAATAAACGATTCAGAGATTAAGTAATTTGTGAAGGTTATGTAGTGTTCAGGCGATAGTGTGTCGTCGTGGCAGCATCATTTTTTTAAAGGAAATTCAAGAACTCAATACTAAAGGCAAAATAGGCAGAATGTGCAACTGTATTCACAAGTCTGGCCTTTAAATATTCTCTTCGAAAGTGTCTCCTGAAATACATATTTGAATGTGGGTAAATTCCAAGCAAGACCTGTGTCAAAATACATACATAGGTGACACTCATGTTTATGGTGACAATTCTAGTATACTAATGTGTCCTGCACTTAAGCCAGTAAAGGAAACAATTAAACCATGGCAATTGCCACATTTTACATACTTGAAAATTATTTCTAATGCTTGTAGTGTTAATGATTGGGGTCTTGCCACATTGTAATTTTATGACTTTAAATTTAGTGGTAAATAAGAATTGCTAGGCTCATCCAACTTTACAGTGCGTAAAAGAGGCCTTATTTACGCTTAAATAAGTAGCATCTATAGAATAAAGAGCAAAATACACTTTTATGGACATCTATAGTCATTTTATCTGGCATCCACATTTGTCTTACTATATTAATGTTTTACGCAACAATGAGACAACAGCGTTGTAAATGCCTGAAAAGTTTCCCAAGAAACAAATACTTAAGAGTCCTATTTCTACTTGGCTTATAAAATTGAGTGTGTGTGCCTCTGGAAACAGTTTTCATTATAGTACAGAATCTAATCACAAATAATGTGGCAGAATTTAAAGTGGCATGTATAGGTGAAAAGTATTACATTCTTGACATAGAAAATGCTGTGTAGGGGAACAAGCTTTTTTGGAGCCAAATATGGCTACACTCTTGCTTACTGCTAGCTCATATCTGCTTGCTAAGTTAATGTAATATTTGCTGGGTTAGCCTTGAAGAGCCCTGGCACCATGCCACCTTTGTTCACGAGAGCTATAAAAGCCGCTGCCTCCCTCTGAGGGGTAAAACTGCTGCCACCCAGGACTTTGCCTCAGTAAGTAATTCTTAATAAAACCCCTATATTGCCATCATGGAGTTGCCAGTCTCCTGTTTCTGAACACCTTAGGGCAAATTTCAAGTTACTGGTGTATGCCCAGATACACTCTTAGCTGAGTTCTGTGATGTTACTAAATGAATCAAACCTGACTTCAAAATTCGACAAAGATATAATAATCAACTAACTATTGGATTCCATTGTATAAGTCTCCTGCTTCCAAAATTAGGCCAGGTACCCCTACCTGGTTTTCAGACCTCATTTGATACCCAATACTTAACTATTTTGTCCATGGCTTTGATATTTGACTTCTGATACCTCAAATGGCCCTATACTTCAACAAACAGGATGTCCTCCTCCAACAATTGATCCCTCCTGATGACATGTCCAAAGCAAGGAAGTTGGATAATGTTCTGTTGTGATCCATAATATTTTCACTGGCTAGTTTTTGGAAATTACTTTTGGAAATCACCATGCCTTTCTTCCTAAACTATCTTAGTCTGGAAGCTCCATTGAAAGATGTCCACCATGGGTGACCTTGCAGGTGTTTTAAATAGCAGTAGCTTTTCTTCCAGCATCACAGCAATATGCAAATCATCACAGTACTATAAACTAACAAGCACAACAACCTTAAGTGGTAGGAAAAATCCAGTTTTACAGATACAGAAGCTAATACATGGCTCACTTGCTTCTGATCGGTATTGGAACCTGACTTCAAATCCAAGGAGATTTACTCATATTATACTTACCTCTTGCTCATACCTCAGATTGAGTACCAGATCCACTTCCTAAGTTCTAGTTGGGTGGAAGGAGATGATGATGTGATCCCGGAGGCTTGTATACACAATCACACCTCTTTTCTGTTCAAACATTTTGATAGAAATTTAAATTGGAATTTGTTAAAGAAGACAAATGAGACTGACAGATACCAGTTTTATAGCAAAGTGTGGTGAAGAAATCAGAAAGTCAGCTATCAAAGAATAGTGTCTGGGGTCTTGTCTTAAAACAAGCAGCTACCTAAGTGAAGCATTAACTAAGTCCACACAGAAAAAACACACCAGCCTATGTGATCCAAGGATTATAAATAATAAAAATCAAATTCAGAGAAGGGATCGGTATCAGAGCCTAAATTCTGAACACCCAGTTACTAGAAGGCTATGAATGACAGTGGAAACCCAAATTTCATTTGCAGGGTCCCCACATGGATTAAGTCCCTGGTGAATCCCTCTAACTATAGTCCAGGGATGTGAATAGCCTTGCTATCTGACAGAGCACTATAAAGTCAATTAAGGCTGATAAGAGTTAGGTTAAAATGTAATACCTTATTTGATCGCCCTTTTGACCTTTTTCAAATTTGCTCTAGTTTTTAATATAGTCTACTTCCTTTTTGTTGAGGTTTTTCTGTTTGCTTGGCATTATTGTTGAATTTATTTTCTTTTTGATTTTGTTGTGTGTGGTTTTATTTTCCTTTCTGTATATGAAATCCAGAATACCTAAATCTACAGAGACAGTAATAACTGGATTAATAACTACCTAGGGACATGGATGGGGAGTTTGGGGGGGATATACGAAGTTAACAGTAAGTACAAGAGAGAAGAAAATGTTCTAAAATTGTGATGATGATTGCTCAACTCGTCTTTATATGATTGAATGATTTAATTGTACGGAGTGTGAATTATATGCCAATTTTAAAAAAGGGAAAGGAAAACATGTGGGTAACAGTAAACCTCTTTGATCTGCCATCTTAAGGGCTAAAAACACCTGAGAGCAAGGAGAAGTGGGCGCCTAAAGTGAAAATTAATGGACAGGGGGAAAGGTATTATAAATATTGCATGTTACACCACGGCAGTGAATTAATTAATGTGACTCTTTTAGCCAAAGTCTCACTCCCACCAAATGACCTTTCCATTCATGGATCTGATAAGAAGGTGAGAGAAAATACAGATAAGGATTGCCTCTGAGTAACTGTGAACTAGGTTCCTTGGAATGCCATCCAGCTGTGAATAAAATGAGCCCTCTGAGAAGTAAGAAGAGGAATCTCATTACTAGCAAGAACCAGGAGTGCAGTGCATCCTCCAGAAGAAAGAGAAAGATTCCTACGCAGTGAACTTCCTGGAACCAGGAAATAGCTATTACATCAGAAGAGCAGCACCAGAACCAAGAGCCAGAGCAGGAGTCAGACGGATGGACTCTGCAAAACCCGCAGCAAGTAAAACTGAGTGCTTTTGTGCAGGAGGCTGGCTTATGGAGAAAGGTGTCTCTGAGCACTTAACTCAAGTTGGGCTTGCTGATCCATGAAGCTTTGAGCTGAATTCCTTTGGGTTGAGGTTTACAGCAGAGTGGTATGCCCTTTGGGCATTTCTTAGCAGACCTGAATGAACTTTGTTGTTTAAAATTATTTTATTGGCATATAATCCACATGTCATACAATTTGATAGTACCATCATATTAAAGAGTTGTATAACCATTACTGCAATCAATTTTAGAACTCTTTGTTCTTTCTTGTACTCATTGTTATTAGCTCCGCATTTCCTCACAACCTCCCCTGCCATATCCCTAAGAAACCATTAATCACTGTGTCTATAGATTTACTGTATACAGAAAAACAGATAAAAACAAAAAACTAGGAACAATAAAGTAAAACAGAGAAAACCTTAATTGAAAAGAAAGCATAAGATATTAAATACTCAAACAAATTTAAATTTGTTAATTTGAATCAAAAGGGAGATCACAGGATAAAGTCTTAAATTTTAACCTAACAATATCTGTCATAAGTCACTTTCCAATGCATTCTGTTGGACAGCAAGACTATTCACATCCCTGGTCTATGGTCAGCAGGGATTCATAGGGGCTGAATTCATGTGTCTTTCCCCTTCCCTAACACAACTCCTCCACCCTTAACGGAAACAGCTTTAGAATGGGCCAAATGGGAAGATCAAATGATAAGATACTACTTTTTAACCTAACTGTATCTATGATAATCGACTTTACAATGCTCTCTGTCTGACAGCAAGGCTATTTACATCTCTTTTGACTATGGTCATATGGGATTCTCCAGGGGCTTAATCTATGTGCAGACCCTGCAAATGGATTTTGGGCTTCCACTGTCATCCAAAGCCTTCTGCAAATCAGGTGTTCACAATTTAAGCTCTGATACCATTCCCAACTGGGGATTCGGATTATATTATTTA